ACCTCAACCAAGTCCTCGCGCCGCACGACTCAGAATAGAAGGAAATCTGCAGCGCCTGCGACACCACGCGCAAGCCGAACGAGGAAGAGTGTTGCACCAGAGGCATCCGTAGAACCGAGCGAGATCCTAGACCCAGATCAATCTACTGCCACTGTCATAACCCCAGAAACTGCTAAGAAGGCCTCGCCGAGGAAGCGAAAGAGTGTTGCGCCGCGCAAGGTCAGCAAAGAGGCTACGCCCACTCCGACGCCCGCGCCTGACAGTCAGCCTTCTATGCCAACACCCGCTCGAACTGAGAAATCTGAGGAGCCGTCCGAACTTCATGGGACGCCCTTGGCTGATATCACCAGTCAGAGCATCAATGAGCAACAGCAATCACCAGACGATACCGTCACTCAGGTCAAGCCCATTCGACCAATGGACACCATCCTAGAGAAACCCATGGATATTGTCCTAAAGTCACGTAAGATGGCGGCGCCAGTCGTCGAGGATACGGGCCCCAAGCCACGTATCGTCATCACCTACCTGGTGTTGACCAACTTCAAGAGTTACGCTGGACGACAAGAAGTTGGGCCATTCCATGCCTCCTTCTCATCAGTAGTGGGCCCTAACGGCTCTGGTAAATCAAATGTCATCGATTCGCTTCTCTTCGTCTTCGGATTTAGAGCGAGCAAGATGCGACAAGGCAAGATATCTGCCTTGATCCACAACTCCGCTGCCTACCCAGACCTAGATCACTGCGAGGTGGCAGTTCACTTTCAGGAAGTTATGGACTTGGTCAGTTTAATTTGATACACTGCTCCGTAACAACAGTATACTAACCGCGCTTCAAGCCTGGCGGTGGGACAGAAGTAATTCCCAACTCCCAGATTATCATTTCAAGAAAGGCATTCAAGAACAACTCGAGCAAATATTATATCAACGGCCGCGAGTCCAATTTCACCACCGTAACCACCCTCCTTCGGGATCGGGGAATCGATCTCGATCACAAGCGTTTCCTCATCCTGCAAGGTGAAGTTGAGTCGATTGCCCAGATGAAGCCCAAGGCTGCCAACGAGCACGAAGATGGTTTACTAGAGTATCTCGAGGATATCATTGGCACCTCAAAGTATAAGACACCCATCGAAGAGGCGGCAGCAGAGGTGGAAACCCTCAACGAAATCTGCATGGAGAAGAGCGGACGTGTTCAGCACGTGGAAAAGGAGAAGAATAGCCTCGAGGATAAGAAGAACAAAGCCTTGGCATACATTCGGGACGAAAATGACCTAACCCTCAAGCAATCGGCACTCTACCAGCTCTATATCAGTGAATGCAACAACAACCTGAGCGTCACTGAAGAAGCGATAAGTCAAATGCAGGCCCAACTGGACGCCGAGCTAGAGAAGCACCAGGGTAGTGAACAAGTTATTAAGCAGCTACAGAAGGCATACGCCAAAGGATCCAAAGACTTTGAGTCCCAAGAGAAACATGTCCAGACCCTCGTCAAAGAAGCAGCAAAGTTTGAACAAGAGAGAGTCAAGTTTGACGAGAAGCGGAAATTCTTGACCGACAAACAAAAGAAGCTCAAAAAAACCATTGCCAACGCCGAGAAGTCGACAGCTGAGGCAGAGGAAACGATTGAGCAGTGCGCCGAGGAGATTTCTTCACGCGCCGAGGAAATCGCGGTTCTCGAGGAGCGTGTACAGCAAGAAGAGGCAGAACTTGCTAGGATCCGAGATAGCCTAAAGGGCAAGACGCAAGTATTCTCGGACCAGATCGCTATCAAACAGAAATCTCTTGAGCCATGGAAGGAGAAAATCAACCAAAAGCAGTCGGCCATTGCCGTTGCCGAATCAGAACTAGCCATTTTGAAAGAGAAAGCTAACGCTGGTGCTGTTGCTCTCGAAGAAATGCAAATCAAGATCTCTAATATCGAAGAGGGCCGTGCTGCCAAACTTGCCGAGCTGAAAGAGTGCCAAGCTGAAAAAGCAAAATTGGAAAAGGAAGCAAAGAAGGTCGAGGCTGACCTTGACGCCCTATCCCAAATGGAGCCCAATGTTCGCGCCAAAGTATCAAACGCCAGACAGAAGGCAGAAGAAGCGAGATCCAGTCTCTTCCAAAATCAAAACCGAGGCAATGTGCTAGCAGCGTTGATGCGAATGAAGGAGTCGGGACGAATTGATGGCTTCCATGGGCGCCTTGGAAACCTCGGTACGATCGATGAGAAATACGATGTTGCTATCTCCACAGCATGTCCTTCTCTCGACAATTTTGTTACCGATACAATGGAAGCTGGACAACAATGCATCGAATATCTCCGGAAAACGAACCTTGGGCGAGGTAACTTTATATGTCTGGATAAATTGCGTTCACGCGATTTGCAGCCTATCCAAACACCCGAGAATGCGCCACGCCTATTTGACTTAATCAGAGCCAAAGAAGACAAATTCCGTCCTGCTTTTTACCATGCACTACGGGACACCCTAGTCGTTAAGGACCTTGCTCAGGCAAACCGGATCGCTTACGGTGCCAAGAGGTGGCGAGTCGTCACGCTAGATGGAGAGCTCATTGACGAGAGTGGTACCATGTCTGGAGGTGGAAAAACTGTCAAGAGAGGTTTGATGTCTAGCAAGCTTGTAGCTGATACGACTCAGGAGCAAGTCGCCAAGCTTGAGGGCGATCGTGATTCCCTTGAGCAGAAGTTTCAGGAGTTTCAAGACACCCAGCGAGAACTTGAGTCGCGTCTTAGGTATCTGAAGGACCAGATTCCGCAATTAGACACCAAGATGCAGAAGATCGGCCTCGAATTGCAAAGTGCCGAGAAGAATCTTGCGGATGCCCAACGTCGTGTCAAGGAGCTGAGCAAGGAGCACCAACCATCCCAGTCCGACGATAACAGAGTAGCTGTCCTGCAAAAGGAAATTTCCAAGTTGAATAAAGAGGTAGCGAAACTTCACGCCGAGACCGAAGGTGTGGAGGCGGAAATCAAAGAGCTGCAAGACAAGATTATGGAAGTTGGTGGTGAGAAGCTTCGTGCCCAGCGTGCGAAGGTCGATGCTATCAAAGAGGAAATAACGTCACACAACGAGGAAACTTCAAATGCCGAAGTGAAGAAGGCTAAGGCGGAGAAGTCGAAGACTAAGCTCGAAAAAGACCATGCCAAAGCCACTAGGGAGCTAGAGGCGGCAGTCCGCGATCTCGAGAAGCTGGAAGAAGAGGTGGAGAATCAAGGTAGCAAATCCGAGTCCTTGAACGCCCGTGTCGAGGAGGCTGAGGCAGAACTCGCGGATAAGAAAAAGGAATTGTCTGCACTAAAGGCCGAGTTGGATGAGAAGGCGTCAGAGCTCAACGAAACCCGCGCGGTCGAGATCGAGATGCGCAATAAATTGGAGGAGAACCAGAAAGTGCTCCTTGAAAATCAGAAGCGCTTGCGCTACTGGGATGAGAAGCTGGGCAAACTCGTACTTCAAAACGTCAGTGATCTTACCGGTACGCCACCAGCAAAGAAGCCAACTAGGGAGGAAGGTCAAGAAGAACCCACAGAGAACCAAGAAGAAGAGGAGGAAGAAGGACAAGAAGAGGAACAGGAGCAAGAACAGCAGCCCGAGGAACTTCCCCGGTTCACCGAGGATGAGCTGAAGGATATGGACAAGGAGACTCTGAAGGCCGAGATTGCCGCCTTAGAAGAGAAGACACAGAATGTCAACGTAGACGTTAGCGTCCTATCCGAGTACCGCCGCCGAGTTGAAGAGCATGCTGCCCGGTCATCGGATCTAGCGAGCGCTGTCCAGCAGCGTGACGCGGCCAAGAAGCGCTGCGATGACCTACGCCGGCTTAGATTGGAGGGCTTCATGGAGGGCTTCAGCACCATCTCCCTTCGCCTAAAGGAGATGTATCAGATGATTACGATGGGTGGCAATGCCGAGCTAGAACTTGTTGACAGTCTGGACCCCTTCAGCGAAGGAATTCTATTCTCCGTCATGCCGCCCAAGAAGAGCTGGAAGAATATCAGCAATCTCAGTGGTGGCGAAAAGACGCTGTCCAGTCTTGCGCTAGTCTTCGCCCTACATCACTATAAGCCAACGCCATTGTATGTCATGGACGAAATTGACGCCGCTTTGGATTTCAGAAACGTGAGTAACCTTCATTCGCTAAACTTGTACACAACGATTAGTGCAGCCGTTGCTAATGATATGATCAGGTATCGATCGTTGCCAATTACATCAAGGAGCGCACCAAGAACGCCCAGTTCGTCGTCATCTCGCTCCGCAACAACATGTTCGAACTTGCAGCCCGGCTAGTTGGCGTATACAAGGTCAACCATATGACCAAGAGCGTGACGATCGAGAACCGCGACTACATTACTCGCGGGGCGAGGCAACATCACGGCGGTCAAACAGTGACTACATGATAGAATAAAGCCTAAACTCATGAACTTGGTATTTGTGTAATGAATGAATAGCGCGCAAGGCGTGGGCTGAATGGGTTACGATAATTGGGATGCAGGTCCGGTCGAGGAACACCCATAGGATTGACGATACAGGAGTTGTGTAATGAATTGAACATATTAGTATGGACTTAAGATGAGTCCGTTTGGAATGAATATATGCCTTAATTAGTTTCTCTCTAAGTTTGTATTGAAAACCGGCCGTTCTCGATGAGAAATCTCAACCACTCCATAGTGGGACACGTAAAAGTTCAAAATGATGTCTCTTCCAGTAGAAGCTACAAGATGTTGATGTCAACTTTAGGCAGATCTTAAAAGCCGCTGGTTCTTTAGGTTTGATTTGTTTCTTTCGTCCAGCTAACCCAGAGAAGTCAATAATAGACCGCCGCTTCGGAGTACCTTGACTTCGCACACTATTGGTCAACTTAACAAGCGCCTAGACTTACTAAGCCTCCATGCTCACACACAAGACTTTGTAGCAGGCTATATAAGCCTACAGATTTTTCTGTTCACCATCCACCAATGGATGCTTCGGAGGTATCCGAGGCTTGACCTAAAAGTTTCCATTGTACCAGGGCAAATGGTCTAGGGGTATGACGTCTGCTTCGCACCATTCCACGGTGTATGCTGAAGGTCCGGGGTTCAATTCCCCGTTTGTCCAGTCTTTTTTGCTTCTTTCTCCTCCTATTCAGTCGACCCTATATTGTGTTTAATGGCTCAAGTGTTTCTTTCCCCTTTCATATGCCACTAATGATTAGTCGAACTAGTGGGCGCCTTAGTTTTACTCCAGCTTTGAAGATACCGAATAGCTCAACATTAGGTGTAAGTAGACATGTAGAACTCTGTCCAGCGGTCCAATAAGGGCAATTTAAGAGATAGCACATAGTCAAATTAAAGATAAACTTGGGCAAATTTTTTGAGTAGCTCCCCTGGATTATCAAGATCAGGAAATCGGGACCCAGCATAAGACCACGTCGTATGAAAGATTTATCACTTGTAAAAGCACGGCAGTCTACGCTGAATCGAGGGTGTAATGACCTGTTTATCATGGCAATATGACTTTATTCATTGAAGTCATTATCTGAGAAATCATTCCGAAAACCGTTTTTCATGCAGCGCAAACCATTTCCGATGACCAGATTCGTCCCAGACCCGTTCACTCCCCTATGACACCAAAACGAAGCATTTAAGCGACCTTGGCAGTCTGAGTGGGAGTCACCTTCTTGCCATCCTTGTTGTATCGAACACGTGGGGGAGGTGCTCGGTTACGTCGGCCTTCTCGCGATCGGACACTAGAGGTAAATGTGTTAGCTGGTATATTTCTAATGACCAAGGGAAATAGGGGAGATGTTTTTATTCGAGGTTCAACCAAGGCTCATCTCAGGCGCATACGCAGCCCCAGATGAGCGCGTAGTCGTTCTCCCGATGGGACGACGTACCGGACAATCTTGCCGTGGATAGCGCAAGAGACACAGTACTGCAGCTTGAGGTACATCTTGGGAACCGTGTACTCGGAGAAGACGGAGGCGTCCGAGATATCACCTATGAAATTTTGGTCAGTCAATCCATTCTTAGAACAGTAGAATCTCGATTTGAAAAAGGAAATAGTAAACATACGGATAGCAGCAGATTCAACCATGTTTCGGATGGTGAAACGCTTGATCGCCTTGTCCTTGGGAGTGCATCGCGAGCAGTTGCTGCATCGGATAGGCTTGACGTGGCCGCGGCCCTTCTTGTTGCGGCCGTTGTTCTTTCTCTTCTTGACCATGGTTGCGGTGTTCTGTTCGTTGTGGTGTTAGAATCGGGGATTCAATTCGGAGGGACAGGAATCGCACATACGAGTTGTGGTTATTTAGAGTTGTCGAAGAGAAAGTGGTTCGTGGTTTAGTGAATTCAATGTAGAAATTTGGTGCGCGAAGTTTGGCTGGTTGAAAGCGTCCAAAGATGCCCCACACTTGCACAAGAAAAGTAACGGGCCAATGAGAAAAGGGTCTCAATTTAGGGTACACAGTTTGTGCATTGCGGAAAAGATGCGGCAGGGCAAGTAAAAACAGGAAACCCTAGCACGTGATTCTTATCGACGGGTCTAAGCTGCATTACCCGAGCTTTACCAAGGACCCACCACACCGATTGCTGGATCTTGATAACCTCTCGCGGTTCCTCCCACCAAGAAACTTTTCTTCTCTTCCACAAACCAGAAACATCTTGGTTGCTTAGGACGGCAATAGTCATATTGTCTAGGTACGTCTAACTGATATTTCAAAGCCATCGTCTTTGGGCACACATCATTTCCCATTGTACCCTCTGCGACAGCATCTTCTACACTTCCCTGTACTTGGTCGCATCATTGTGATGAGCTGATGCGACTCATTTTCCCCCGTCGCGAACATCCCCAAATCTCACCTTCCAACGCACATCCATACCAACCCTTAGAAGACAATAGCATTCTTCATTTCTGGTGACATTCACTAATCCCGAATTTTCACCTAGTAGGCAATCATGCAGATCTTCGTCAAGACCCTCACGGGCAAGACTATCACCCTTGAGGTGGAGTCTAGCGACACCATCGACAATGTCAAGTCCAAGATCCAGGACAAGGAGGGTATTCCCCCCGACCAGCAGCGACTGATCTTCGCCGGCAAGCAACTCGAAGACGGCCGTACTCTCTCCGACTACAACATCCAGAAGGAGAGCACCCTTCATCTCGTCCTCCGCCTCCGTGGTGGTGCTAAGAAGAGAAAGAAGAAGGTCTACACTACCCCCAAGAAGATCAAGCACAAGCGCAAGAAGACCAAGTTAGCCGTCCTCAAGTACTATAAGGTCGACGGTGATGGCAAGATCGAGCGTCTTCGCCGCGAGTGCCCTGCTGACACCGTGAGTTATCCCCATATCTTTATCAACTACGATATTAATGCTAATGCCACAATTAGTGCGGTGCCGGTGTCTTCATGGCTGCCATGCAGGACCGACAGTACTGTGGCCGATGCCACCTCACCTACGTCTTTGACAAGCAGTAAACGCCTCTAATCGGTATTACGAGTGCATGAGGTTAGGGATTCGGGACACAAGGACAGGGTTCATAGTGTTTTTCACGATAGGGCATAAATGACCTAGCTCAGTCCCAATACAAAGAAATTCATAAACAATCATGAACGTTTCTACATTGTGAATGTTCACCTACATGGTTCACCAAAGTTTTATCAGCATACTCATCGACTTGCCGACTCGTAATCTTGTAAGAAACAGGGGCAATACAGGAGATTATAATTAGGACCATGACGAGCTTTTCCCTCCCTATGCCTCTTAAACCCGGTTCCCCTACTATTCATGTCAAGTAGCCAGCACAATGTCTCTAATCGTATATTGTGCAAGGGGTACAATCACCTGTTGACGTTGAAGATTGTCGGTTAGTATTTCAATGACAGTGAAATCCATCCAATACCAGGTATCTACATTATCTCAAGGGCTACACACTCATAGCAGACTATACATACCACTAGAGACATCAACCTCACCCCATGTATATGGTATCCTATTTTCATTTTGCCCCCCCGCCCTTTTCAGACCATAAATCATCCTATATCTGCCTAGTTGTTAGGAAATCCAGCCCTGAGGTTTTCATACTTAGTATGCGGATACTCGATACAGTTCCGCCTGCCATCCAGCGCTCCCGGACCGCCTAGAACCTCAACCACATTTGCGATCAAGCTCTCGCGACCCTCCTTGTCCGCGCTACTCTCCCACCACATAGCGCCGCCTAGCCGCCAGTTCTCACGCACATACCGCGCCTTGTGCCGCGCCATCTCCACCGTGTCGTAGCTGACTAGAGTGCGTGTGCGCGGATCATAGCAATAGCTCGCGCCCGCCTCGCGGTCTATGTACTCCGAGGCGCCCGGAAGAGGCAGTTTCTTGTAGTCGTGCACGCCCGCCTCCCAAGTGCCTTCGCCTATGCCGTTATACGGTGCTCCGGGGCCGTCGGTACCTTGGAATGCGCGTCCGTAGAGGGGCATGCCGAGCACGATTTTGTGCGGCGGCACGCCGTGCGATACGTAGTAATCCAGCGCGGCGGATGTGCTGAAGGGCGTGGACCGCGGGTTCGAGGCGCTGGGGAACATGTTGGCTTGGTGCCCTGACGTCGAGTCCCATGATCCCGCGTAGTCGTACGCCATCAGGTTCCAGAAATCCAATAGCCGGTCCATGCCCGGCAGGTCCAGCTTCCCGTAGTTCTGCGCGCCGGCCGGGCACGCGACGGTCAGCTCGAAGTGGTACGGGGTGGGCAACGTGCGGCTGTAATTATCCATGGCCTCTCGCACGGCCCGCAGTAATGATACAAAGTCGGCGGCCTCCGCGGGCGACTGTGGGTACTCCCAGTCCACGTCGATGCCATCGAATCCCAGGTTTTTAATCAGCTCCACGCAGGAATTGGCAAATGTGGCGCGGCCCTGGGGCGTCGAGGCCGGCTGCTTGAAGTTGCTGCTGTACGTCCAGCCGCCGACAGACAGCAAGACCTTGAGGTGGCGGTTTCTCCGCTTAAGCAGGTTGAGCTGCTTGAGGCAGCCGTATAGATTAGTGCCTACATCGTTCCAGCTATCACCCTCCCAGTGGATGTCCGTGTCAGCCCAAGGATCTGTGAGATACACCTCGCCGGACTCGGGCCGCACGTTGGCGAAGGCGTAGAGGATGTGGGTCAGCTTATCGGCGGGGAGATCCTGGGGTCGGTGCTTGCGGCCGTATATGGCCCAGTTGACGAAGTACGCCACTGTGCGAAACTGGTGATGCTCTGGACCACCTCCCATATTGAATCCTAGAGATAGAAATAGTAGATTCGAAGTAAATATATCTGAAATAATCTGGTGGGGAGCTTTAAGGAGACTTGGGGAGATGTGGTACGAGAGCAAGGAGGGGTACAAATGTGTAAGTACGAGAGCAGTTAATAGTACCGTCACCGAGAAGACGTAAAGGTAAAAGGGTCTGAGATTGGGCATATGCTAAATTCCAAGGGGAAAGATGGGTTTTATAACTTTCTATCTAGGATGAGTAATGACTTATCCTTTTCTTTTTGTCTTGTAGTAAAGCAAGTTCATAGGTACATGTATTCAGGTTCCAGTTCAGCTTTAGGTGTGTGGCTTGGAGCTTGTGTGTACAAAGTGGCGATGCAAGACAGCCTACGCACATAATACCGTATACCCAGCTACATACATGTACACGTACGTATGAGGTACATGTAGATCGTAGCTTCTACAGAGTCCAATCAACTTCAGACATTTACGCAAGAGCGACTTGCATAAGTCAAACTTCCTTGTAAGAATTCCATCTTTACAACAATCGGAAGGAGTAAGGTGGAGAATGTTTGTCTGACGGTGCCGTAAGTCCGGGACAACGCAAAGGGAATGCGGTTGTGTTATTTACCCGGCAAATTCCCGACGCATCCAACTCTGCCACCCCACCAGCTCAGCTACAGTACATCCCTGTACCTGCATACATAGGTACAATTCTGGTTACATAACGTCAAAAACAAGCAGATGAGATCCCCTTCTTTTTTCGCGAATCAATTTCACGGTCTCCGAGTCCTAGCGACAGCATCTCGAAATACCCAATTCTAATCAAATTTGGTCAATATGAGAATGCTAGAGCCCTCCCAATTCGACCGTATTTTCGGTT